ACTCGTAGAAGTTTTTAAGACACTCGCCAAGGCTCGTACCTTAAATTTTCTACTCGTGTCGTTAACACTATCTTTACGCAATCGTTGCGTAAACTACTATTAACATACTACCCTAGACGTCTAAAAGTCATGTTTGATGGAAAGAGGAAAGGTTAATCAATAGTAGACTATCAAAAACTCTCGAACCCACATCTTATAAAAGCATGTCTTAAGGTTTCATTAAACTTGTATCCTATACATAATGTAATGCCTGTTTACTTGATAAACTACATTGTATAACCCAAAGCTGTTTATTTATTATTTCCAGGTGATGTCCATACTGGCATTAATAGGAGTAATTCTGGATGACAGCTCAATTTCTTCGTCTGACATTCATCGCTTCTTTGGAACCAGTATAAAAAGTAAGTAATGGAAACCTTATACTTTGGCGATGAAAACATCTGCTTGACAGGTTTAAATATTTCTAAAAAAAAATACTTACTCGACAAAATATTTTGCTTTTTGTCTCCTGTAAAGGATACTTAGGTGCTGTGAGGTATTGTAATAGTATATTTCGTGCCTAGGGCCGAAAATGAGGTTTTGCCGGGTCGAGATAGTTTTAAATCGATCGAGAGCTACAAAACCATTTCTGTCCGTGGTACGAACGCTATTTTTCACCACACTATACCCTATTACCACTATTCACCACTATAATAATGCACACTGATAGTCAACACAACTACAACTTTAAGGTTATGTAAAGAGGAATCAGCAAAAATAAAAATAAATAGTTGCTAGCCAACGGTGACAATAACACAATAATTCTATTGCAATGCTACGGATTTTGATTGTGTATTTAAAATGCATTCATGTTTTAAGTAAGTAAGCGAACAGCTGATTTTGCGGCCCCGGGCTGTAAAAACCTGCTCGGTCCCCAAATTACGATGACAGCTGGCATGGCCAGCAAAACGTAACTTTCAGCCACCAATTAACGTATGTAATACAGCCAAAAATATCATAGTGTGGTGAAAAGTGAATATTTAGCTGATTAACAATTTGTTTGCAAAACAATGTCAGCCAGTTATATTCGCTGTCTTGCATGCCTATTTCAATCATCCCTTTAGTTTTCGATACGTTCCAACAGCTCGTGGCACCATTAATTGTTAACAATTCCTGCTACATTGTAGTAATGAGAATTCATCGTGGTCCAGAGATTCACATAACCCGCCTGAGCATTGTATTTAAGATGGGAACCCTAAAATAAGCCCTTAATTGGTTTTTATAAAATATAACAAACGTTCATGAAAAATCTTAAAGTAACTATTTAAAAGCAGCCTACTAGGTATTGTTATGAAACTACCACATAGGTAGGTCTATCACGAATCTTTACTTTAGTATTAAGACAAGAATTAGGAATGTAAAGGTAATAGCATTTTATAAGCATGTAATGTGAGTTTAAACTCAGATTATTCTCCTAAATGATACAGTCAATTTTAAAGGTTAAAACCACTTTAAAAGCATTTATTTTACTATTGTATGAAACTAAAAATTAAAGTATGTTTCCAAAGGAGCAAAAATTTTGGATTAGGCCTAAACTATTTAATTGGGAATGCCACTAATATTAATACTGTATTTTGTTTTTAGTTTTTCCTATATTTTAAACTTTTGTAATTTTCCTCATTTTTATAACTATGTTTATTCCAGCTCTCTACGTTCTTTTGGGAGGAAGTGTCATACAAACTATAGCCGCAGTATTTCTACTCTATGGCGTTTACATGGTAAGTATAGTCTAATATTCTAAATCTCTAAAAGGTAGTTTTAATAAAAGATCATAGGAAAGAACATAAAAAATAAACATAAATATTACCGTGCTAATCTGTATCCCTATATAAATATTCTTCTAAAATACTACTTAAAAAGTGTGAATTAGCTTATCCCATTATCCATTAGCTTATCCATTAGCTTTCGCCTTTAAAATCACTTATAATACATGAACAACCTGAAAGATTACTTAAGCCCTCCCTATTCTTGAAATACAAACAAATAAAGATCTTGCAGTATCATTTTTTTAACACAGATGATTCTCAATGAGGCTTAACAAGCCCATTCAAAGTCAAACTTTGAAAAGGCAACAAACGCACAAATAGAGAGCTAAAAAGGCCACTTATTCTCCTTCGACGATTTCCTATCAATCTCTTTTAACTCCAGCCAGCCGATGGTTTTACATACAAAGGTTAGTCTTGAATCTTAAAGACGTGAATTCGTTTGTATTTTTTTCTTAGGATGAATGATATATCTTTATGTATTTTCTAAATATGAAGACCTGAGAACTAATCTTGCGTTCAACAATCACTTTAAATTAAACAGCTTCCATAAGCACAATCTATTGTTTTGCTGTATAAAACCATTACAAGAAATCAGCAAAAGTACATTATCGTAAAAGTAAACAACAAATAATGTGAAAATTAAAAAAATAAATACATAATTAGTATTTTTTATTTTTTCTCTAAAATTTTTTACTTGGTTTACAGATTTTCCCCATGATGGCAATAGTCGTTTTTAGTGATTTTTATAAGTTTGTTTAGCATGCTGGGTTTTTACATTTAATGGTAAATAATTTACATCGGTAGCAACTTTGTTTGTAATAATCTGTTTCGCTTCGTACACAATTAAAAGAAACTTCTTACAAACTCATGCATTGTATTTTAACAGTTGTCTATGGATAATTTGAGTTGATATAATCCGAATAATATTGGATCAATGCATATCATATAAATCTTATAATGATTACAAATGCATGAACATAGGCTATTAATTTATACAACAGTGATAAAAAAATACTGAACTATAATAAACTTTGGAAGTTAGGCGAGAATTGCAATTCTATATAATGTTCTATATACCTAAATGTCTAGATCTCAATTTTCTTTATGTCTCTCTTATTACAGAAAAAAAGCTCTTATGTGTTGGAGTATGTGAAATTAGAAACCCTGCTTCACTTCGCTACTCTGCTGGAATTTCTGCTGTACTTACTTCTCGAGTATTCAACATTTTCAACCCATGAAGTCTACATTTTCCTAGCATTTCTAGGAATAAATTACGGTATGTATAAACTAAGTGAACTGATTGATTACGCCTATTAGGCCAATTTTATACAATTCACTTTGTAGGCCTACTTGGGTAATGTTGACTGTTTGTGTTCGTCGTGTTAAAGTATTTTGGAACATACATTTATTTTCGTTAACCTGAGACTTGTAGTTTCGACATAATAGTTAATTATAACACTAAACAAATGTATAATAATCATGTTCCAGGACATTTTGACATAGGTCATCCTTTAAAAATCTGCAGATGAAAACGCCTCGATTTTCAAGTCTGTCCAATTTTATTGAATAATTAACAAGTAATATATTTTAAAGCCGTACCTTTTAGCTGAAATAAATCTTGTATATACCTAACTAAAAACTACTAAAAACTTTAAATTTTAAATTTCTAATTTATATTGAAATGAGAAGTGCATAACAACCAAACTCTTTTACTAAAGGGTAAAAGCCTCAGCATAAGGGGTAAAAAAACTTAATATGTCTTGCTTTTAAAAGAAAGTGGGATAGTCTTATTTCTCAGTAAGAAAGATTATTCCTATTTTTCAGCTTAAGAAAAAAAATATATGCTTGAAAGCTATGAAAGATCTTAGCTGTCTACTATTTTTAAATATACTAAACAAACAGATTAAATAGGTGTTATCAAAGTATATATGTGTATAATCATATTGGTGAAATAAGGTGTTCAATTGAGTCTTTGACCTATGTAGTATTTTTATTTATACTTAAAATCCTCGAATCGAAAGACTGTTAACATATGATGTTAAAATATTGTATCACATTCACGTTGTTTTGTAAATTAACCTAAACGTGTTGTTCGTGTTACAGGACTGGCTGTTTATTATCTTATCGCAGCCTACAGCTACTATCAGATAATGACGAACCCTGAGTTATCACCACTCAACCCTGCCTAGAAATGTGAACACATACAAGTCATCAACAAAAACTGATATTGTCTTGTTGCGTTGTCACGTGTAAATTACGCTTTTAGTACTTAATGAACTTTAAAATCCAAATGTTGTATTAAACTGTTTTATATCTTTCTATTTTTGTTTTATTATTTTTCCAAATATTTTTGTTCTATTTTTATCATATTTTTCTATTACAGTGTTTTATTATACCGTATTTTTATATCTAACTCTAAATAATTAGACAGGTAAAAAATAAATTTATTAACATAACTTCCGTAACGAAAAAACTATTAGAGTGATATCATTATTTACCATTACGATAATGCCTTTTATATAATGTTTTTAAATAATGTTGAATATTTAGAGATTACTATTTTTATCATGAAAATTTTGAGGCCTATATAGTTGTTTTCAAACGAAAATTATAAAACAGTATCTGTAAACGATACGGTTACATTCTGCTTCGAATAGTGTATACAATGTTATCTGCAAATATTCATATCGTGAGATTTAATTAACAATTTAAAAACAGTTCTTTTTAATTTTTTTTGTGAAACTGTATGGTATTTTATGTTTAATATAACTAATAAACCCTTATTATTTTTTGATATAATTTTTATATTCGACATTTTAAAAATACGCACGTCTAGTATCTAGTCAAAAAATTAAAGACCTATAAACAATTCATCTCGGTAATGGTCTAAAATTATGTTTTATCAAGAGTAAAAAGTCATGTTTTCACCTAATTAGATCAGTGTTTATAAAAATAGAACATAAAGTAAGACAAACTAAAATCCAAAATATTTAAGTTGGCACTGAGTGGTAAAACTTTAACTGAGTGGCTGTGAAACTTTAAGAATATAATTTTAAATGCACGAACATACATTATTCCGAACAACGGTACGGTTTAAGTGTAAGCAAGGTGACTTAAGTCTGTGTCAATGGCGTGACTGGCAGCAACAGCTGTTGTGGATATTGAGACAGATGTCTCTGAAGTGTTATACAACTGTTGTCATGAGAAGATACTTGGCATTGTTTCTGCTACTTGCAGCAGTTGGACCTTCCATTGCCACCTTCGGTATTATTAATGAAGGTACGTACACTGGTGTTATTTTATACTTTGAGATACTTCTATTGTGTACTGTGTTGTTGGTTATGATAAAGAAAGAGTGTGAGAGAAGAAAATTAAATATAGTGTGCCTACATAATTTACATTTATTTTCGAGTATTCGAAAATATGTTTTAATCAATAACTTAGTTGACTAGTAAACATTTTCAAAATCCTTTAATTGCTGTCAATCGTTTATGCTTTCTATAATTTGACAACAGTCTGACTAGCATATGTGTTATTCCTATTTTACTCTTATATAGTTATATAATTTGTTAATATATATAGCTAAACAAAATAAATATTTGTCTGTCAATTGAGTTATTACAGTTTACTGAGGCTTTTTACTGTCATTAGAAAATATATTTTCCGCTACTAGCTCCAAAATCCATCCATTTATTTGATTGACTATTATTTGGAAATTATTAAACTTTCAAATCACTAACCTGCAAAAATCTGATTTATTATTATCTAAATAAAAATGGAATTTTTGAAATCAAATCAATGCATAAAACTACCTATTATCAGTCTAAGGGAAGGCATTAGGCAAATTACTCATATGGTGTTAACAGCGTTTGTACTATTTATGGTAAACAATTGGATGTTTTTAACACGTTTTTATTTAGGTTAATGACCGAAAACTATTTAACCATTGATTCGAATTAACAAAATTCTTTTATTACTTTTTCTGGTTTATTCTTTGAACATCATTGCTTGTTTACAGCTGGCTAAATTTACATTTTCTACCCTTGCAGATATGACAAGCTGTTCAAAATTAAATGTTAATCAAAATATTTCATTTGTTGAATTGGATTGTTAATTTTAACTATTAGCCATTTATTTAATGCCACTGAGGTTTACTAAAAGCCTGCTTATATTTATCATACATAAATATGTTCTCAATAGTGTTAAAGACATGATCAGAGAGTGTCCACTATTCCATATAGGCCTAGCCATCACCCATCAATGGCCGGCTAAACACCATCATTTAAAAATCTATGGTGCTTCTCCTTCTGGTTCCAACTTTCGTATTATTCTTGTCATGTAACAATAAAACCGTAATAATAAGTTCATTGTTTCTTACAGTTTTTGGCAATGCCATTGACAGCTGGTTTAATCCAAGAATCTGCGGCGATTGTCCACCAGTTCCGGACTGCCGTGTTCTTCCCGCCGTAAATTTAGGTTACTGTTGTGGATGTAGAAGATTTCCATTTGGTAAGTAGTCGATTTGGAAAAAAAGCTTGCTTTTAATTCATGCATCCATTTATTTAATATAGTTGTTTGTAATTATAATTATTTTTATGTATAACAATGTAAAAAGCTACTCATACCTTTTGTCTACAAGTATGTAGGCCTCTTCCTAAAATGTATCGTTGATTTATATTTTCCTTTAAGCCCTACAATAGCATTATTCTATGATGATATATTGTAAAAACCCGTTCCCGTCAATGACATAATACTTTTGTAATACTTTGAACTACAAATTGAACCATAAGAACCGTTTAGAGATTAATCACAGTTTTTCTAAAAAAAAAGTACACCAAGTCCTAACATAGCAAGTCAATTTTTTTCTATCTTGAGTTCCTGTCAGGTCACTTTCAGCCCTGAACTTTTTTTGTGGTTAATTTTGCAAATCTATATACAAAGACTATCCGCACTCCGCGATCCACACACTTCCCTGTCCACGGGGGTCGGGGCGCGCCGCTGCTACGGCTACTACATGCGAATACATTTACTTTCCCTTCCTTACTTACCGACTCCGACACTCACTTACAAATTGCCTCGATTGAAATTTCTATTCCCTTATAGCACCACGGTACACCCACGCCAGGCGGATCGCTGGCCCGGTAGTAAAGTAGAAATTAATTAAAGAACTCGAAATTCCGGACGAAATCAAAGTCCCAACTCGCGGGTGACAGTTTTTGCGGGGATAGACTGCGAGTCGACACCAGTCGAGTATTGCTTTTCTTCGCGAAATGGTTTCTACAGCATACAAACAATCCTAAACATATAATTATTATCTAAAAAGATGTTATGCTTTTACAATAATTGTATAGGCCTATACATAAAATATTTTTAGATAAATTATATCAATTTAAAACATTATATTAAGTCAATCTCTTCACTAAATTTTGATTTGTTCTACATTGTTTGGTTTTCCGGTTTTAGGTTTGATACCGTAAAACATACGTAGGCCTATATAGGAAAATATTGTTTTTATATACACTATACGACCCAGTTTAATAAGGATAATAATGTCAAATATTGTTTGTACTCAAGGAGATTGCTGTGTTAATACTGATGATTACACGTATTTCACTCACTAGTATTTTTTATTTCAAATGTGTAAATATGTAACAATTTTTATTAACTACTCTGTTACAGACAATGCGCGTATCTTTTGTGCACCCGACCTGATTTGTCCACCAAACAGAAGAAAGTTGTGCGGAGACTACTATTACCTCATGGACTGCTGCTGTACAAATGTCATTTACGATAAATAAACGGATTAATGTTTTTTACAGATTGACGGACTGTTTTACTTAACTTTTTTTAACCCAAAAGTAATGGACATTTATATGTTGGAAGTTATACGTTGAATGATTCGAAATGTTTTAAGCTCGGATATCATGGATATCTTTGATAGCTTGGATATCATCATAGTTAATCATGTTCTGTTCTTTTGTACATAATCCACATATTAGTCATACATATTTACGTCTTCAAATATTATTTATTTATTTTTTTATTTTTACGGCAAACACCATTTTTTACAATTGTTTTACATTGTAATACATGCGACAAGATGCTTACTACATGCTAATAATGTTGTACAGATATATCAGTGATACATGCAAACATTAAAATGAAAAGATGAAAAACATGTTCAATGAAAATGACATGCAGTTATGATAACAGTTGAAAAGTGAAAGTTGAATTATCTAGATAATCATAATAATTAAGTAACATGCTCAGTGAATAACAGACTATAATTGAGGTAACAATAACAAATAAAATAAATAACATGCTTGGCGATAAATAATCCATAACTAGTTAACAATAACAATTGGCAACAATACTGACAGTGGTGATAGATGCAATACGGAAACGAGTAATAGTGATAACAATAACAGACTAGAAATAGATAACAGTGATAATGAATGAAGTAGGCAACAGTGATAAAATTTATAAAAAAGATAACATTCATTTCGATATTCAAAAAGATAACTCATTATCATTTTCAAAACAAACAATAAAACTTCATACCTACTAGTAACGGTGTACAACTTGAAAGGATGATTAAATATTTACAACTATGACAAGAAGCCATCGTTCCAAGCACTTTTAAAGACAGGACCACGTTGCATGTTACATGGACTTTTACTGTGTTGCTTGACTTGGGACAAATAATACAGTAAAATCACGTGTGTAAAGCAGACATTGTATCCGTCCCCTTAGTTGTTTACTGTAGGCACATAATGTTTTACTTCCATGTTGGTTTCCATTTTGTCCATTCTGTACGCAATGAATATGTATTCATCATTTTTACTCGATCAAGTTATTTTTTTGGACATAAATGTTTATATTTTCTTCCAAAATATAAATTATGATACCAATATCAATATATATTTGTAGACTGTACCATTACTATTGAATTTTTGGAATTTTATGTTCATCAAATTAAACCAAAACATTTACCACAACATCTTGAAATACTTTGAATTAAAATAAATGCTTTTTAACACTCTAATAATATACTTTTAGTATGAGTTAATTGACTGAACTAAGTTCAAACATACATAAAAAAAAACTGTTTATGTCTGTTCCATACAGAGCTGTTTAATGTTTCTTATGCGAATATATTCTTATGCGAACGTAACTGAAATTCCCGTAAGACTTGCAAAAGATAATGACATATTATTATAACAACCTCTGGTATACCTTAGAAAACTTTGTACATACTTTAAGAATTAGTTAGCGAGTCGTAACATATGCGTTTTACAACACAACTCGTATTGTTTGAAGATATGCGAAAGGTATTTGAACTATGAATATAGTTTTCTAGAAACGAATTTTCCAAATAATCGGAAATATCGGTAAACCAAGTGTTACAATATTAGCCAAGCAGAACAATAAAGGAGATAATTGTTATGTTATCAGCTGACACATTTACCGCCTCAGTTCCCGCCAAATCATCGCTGGATTTAATCATCTGTTTCCGTTATCAGGTTATCACGCTGCATTACCTGCTCTCAAACTCTGTCATAGTCCAGTGGAAAATTGCAATATTTTCTTGTTGTATGAGTAGTAGTATTCCTTTTAAATCGTTAAGTGAACTGTTATTTGAAAGATATTTATCTTTTCATAACTTAAAAATTTCTAAAAACTTATTCCACGAATGATTATGCCATTGAAAAATCTTTCTTAGTTGTATTTTTATTATTGTACGTAAATATGCATAGTAAAATTGTATTAGGAGAATTGTACTCTTATAGCGTTAGAGAAAATAATGTTTAAATTTAGTTAGTACAGCAAACAGTATAATATGCAATATAATACATTGAAATATATACTAAACATAAAAAATAATTGGCAGATCCAGGTAACATTATACCTTTTATAAAAAATAATTTTTTGATTAATTTTCTTAAAACGTGTTTGTTAATTTCTACGTCATATGTACCATATAAAAAGACAATAATTGATTTGAAAATACTTGAATCAGTAAATGTTGGAATCCAATATATTTCTGACAGTGACATTTAGTACCTATAACACTTTCAACATCACAACTATATAATAAAGTGTAAAACGTCTTTCATTCTAATCATGAACATTAGTTAACCAATTGTAAAGAAGAATACAAAAAAAAAATTTCGTACAGGTTAATATATAAAAATGACGCAGAAAGTCAATGAGCACATACAAACAAAATGATTTTGCCACTAAAAAATGTTTAACTAATCATGTCAATCTAAAATATTTCAGTTCTCGTAAACTTATCTCTACCTTTGCAAATTTCAAAATCATGCATTGTGGTTTAAAAGTTAACTAATGAAGCCACTTGGTCAGTGTTTGAAAAGTTGTACTTTTTGTTTGTTTTCAACTTTTTTGAGCATAATTTTTCATGCATCACTCACTAGCAAGCTAAATAACTTTTATAAAAAATGATGATGGTATGAAATGCAAATATAATTTTTCGACAGTATTGTAATTAAATGTCTCAATTTGTTCATGTAAGTTGTATTTAGGCATAATTTTATAAGAATAAAGAAAATCTTACATCTTATAGATCCCTATTATCACAAACGCTTGACAAAATATTACGCACAATTGTTTTGGCAAAATCTTAACTTAAGTTTGAAATGAAATGAAAAATCATTTATTTACACAGGCAAAGTTAAGGCCCCATGGCCCTTTCTTACACTTAACCTGTTTAACCTGTAAGTATGGCCCACTTAAAGGAACAATGTGTTGAATTATGACAAAATTTTAAATGAGATATCCCGATGAAGGAAACCTGCAGAGTAGGTGAATTGATATTTGGCTGATTTTGTGTCAAATCTATTATTTTCTTAAACATGTCGAGGAAATTTCACTTAAATTAAGTCGTTTCCCTAAAATCGTGCATATGAACACGCACAAATATATTAGGGAAAAGTACATCTTCAATTCCCTTCTCTTCTTATCACTTTTATATGGAGCTCATTGTTATAATGTCTTCGGATTTTACATAGAGGGTAAAGCACGAATAATTTGGACCCAAGCCAAAGCCTAGTACAAAAATATTGGCTCAACTTCAAACTGACGCATCTATTGTAGACTTTCCAAATGTATCAAGTAATTATCCAAACAAATTCTGATTGATTGACACATACTTGCAACGCAACTTACATTTATTTGCGTCCAACGAAAATTAGGTCTACTTGTTACCAACGAACATGTAGACTACATATATAAAATACATATATTTTATATATGTACATATTGTATATATTGTATGTATATATTGTATATATACAATATACATGTATTGTATATATTTTATACATATATAAAAATACTGCAGTTATTGGGATACAGAATTTATTGCTTTTCAATATTCTATTCTAGTTACAAAAACACTATTTTAATATTAACTAGTAAATAAGTTAAAGGAGAATCGTTTAAGATTCTTCAACGCGAATACAATAATATTTAATAAGGGTGACTGCTTCGGCTTAACCTAGGAATGGCACAATATTGATAAACTTTGGTAATATTGGTTGTGTTGGATAGAGGTTATGATCTCAATCTATTGAATAGTTTAGTTTATATTGTTATGCAATAATTTTATCTTGTTTTTCAGAATTGCAATCTAATATTTTTAAATCACTTACTTATTATTTGATAAAATTTATTATATTATGCACTTATTATTTTTCTTCTTATTATTATTTACTATTATTTTATTGGTACGGTTTCAATTTACAATTATTCGTAAGCCATCTTTGCATAATGATTTCTATTTGTAATAATTTAGTTTAATTTTATGCATTTTTAGAATAAATGTATTCTAATACGGCCAAGAAAATGTTATTTATCGATTACACTAAAAAAAACATCCCTACATGAGAGGATTGTAAATGAACCATCTAAATTACATAAACAAATTTAAAATAACGAAAAATTGGACAATGTAAAATTATAACCTTAGTAAACTACAGTATAACAACGGGATTCTTTAGACGAAATTAATCACTAACACTTTGGCAGAGTTATCATGAAATAAATAATCTCCCAAATATAGTTTATACTGATAACTGAATATCGCAGTCAAACGAAAATAACAAATAAGCTTTAATATTATTAACATCCCGGTAGGCATTAGCTAGTACCAACCTCATTTAAACCCCCTTTTTGGATTTATTTTAGGATTATAGAGCACCGCAGTTGCCCATGATAATCCTTTATCCGTCCAAACCAAAAAGCTTATTTATGTTTTATTCGAAATGCAATTATGTTTATCATTATATATTCGTTTGAAGTTATTTTAATAAGTTTCACTAATTAAAATGGATTCAATTGTGATTTTATTATCACAAAATGATTTTATGACCTTGATGCACTCCCAACTGCCTAATTGATGATCGCCTGCAACTTTACGAAATTGTTTTACATATTCCTAGGACATATACCTAGGAAGGATTTTACCCTATACTGCTCTTGAAAACTACTGGAACTTTGGTTAATTTTCTCTAAATATCACGTCAATATTGGGGGAATTTCATTTGATTATTGGTTTACTTATTGGCTTAATTATTTGTTTCATTTATTTATTGGTTACTTTATTGACACGTCATTTAACATCGCATAAGCTACAATAGACTGTATACATTTTAACGACAGACTGCACATATTGTTAACACAACTGTCAACTATAAGCTAAAATTACGTCCATTTTATGAATAGAATTTCGTTCAACAATATAAACTATATGGCCCGATATTAAATACCAAAAAGTAAAAAAAATAAAACC